GTTAAGGTGCCTTTACATGGCAGCGTCAAGCGTCGAGCGTCTGCGTAGAAAATTGAGCAGAATCTAATTTCAGCCTAGAATCTATCTCTTTTAAATTCTGCGCATTTTTCTGCGCAGACGCTCGACGCTTAATGCTGCCATGTAAAGGCACCTTTACCGACCAACTTACTTATTTCGCGCATGCGCACTCCGTTTTGGCCAACACTAACATCAAAGGTGCCGACAGGGAGTTGCGCTACTGTATATACTGTGGCCGTAGCGACGGAGTGCTCACGTACACTACCAAGCGCACGGCTAAAGGTCGGCGCTGATTGGCAGACTTTACTCAATAATAACTTCTTTATTAAGCGTTATATAAAAAAAATGTTACAGGACTTTTCTGTTCAGTTTACTATGCTCTACCCGCTCACGGCATAATCTTTACCAGACACTGTATATTTATACATTGTGCAAATTTTGTATGTGTGAAATGAAATATAGATCATTTAAATTATAAATTTAATTTAAGAATGTATGTATCGTATGTCAAAACATTGACAAAAGCATGAAAATTTTATAAACTGTTCTACTATTTCTTCTAAATTATTTAAGTTTAAAGTTTGTATTGATTCTTATGGAAAATCGAGTATTGTGTAACATTTATTGACAAATTTGACAAGGAAAAGACTGTCAGCAAAATAAAAATTTTAATATATTTTAACAAAACACTACTAAACATTTGCGAAACTTGATTTAAATCCATTTAGGCCAGTGGCACATAAAAAAACTTATAGCGTTTTCAAATGAACGGGTTAATCCAACCCGGTTCAATTAATCACTATATTTGACTATGAATTCAAGCCTTTTATTGGCAGAGATGATGCAATGACGTCATTAATCGTTCTCAGAGCACAGACTCCTATATATTACTAGACTGCTAACTCCTACGAAATACATGGCCCCGAAAAGTATGTACACAACACATGCGCACACAGCATACATACACAAAAACACTTTTCGTCTGTACACATCGGCCATATTACATATCCAGCTCCTATCCTCTTCTTTCCTACTGATTCCTACTTAAGTCACGCATGCGCAGATGTTTAGCTGTGTAACTGAACGGTGTGTATCTTTTATGTGTCCAACTGAACGGTGTGCAACTGAACGATGTGCAACTAACCGATGTGCAACTGAACGGTGTCCAAATGAATTTTCTTCTGTGTCCATAGGCTACTGTGTCCAAAATTATTGTGTCCAAATGCACTGTGTCCAATTGAACCGTGTACAAAGTTTCGTGTCCATTTGCAACGTGTCCATTTACATCGTGTCCAATTGTACTGTGTCCAAGTGCACTGCTCCCTAAAAATTTCACGTATGTCATGGCATCGCCATACGAAAAATGTCCCCTCCCTTGCCGCTCCATCAGAGTGCATTAGTTTTTTTCGTTTTTCAAGGCAAATATAAGCCAACAAACGTTTTAATTAGTTTTTCCGTGACCAACAAACGATTGCGCATCAATTGAACTAACAGCCCTGCCGCAAATGGTCGATTAAAACCGATTAAAACATAATCCGTTTTAATCGGTTTTAATCGGTTCAATCCGCGCCCGGATTAAAAAGTAATCAATTTTAATTCCGAACGAACTATAATCGGTTTTAATATCGCTTTCGCGGATTATTTCCAATCTAAAATCATTACATTCTAATCCATATTGTTGTCAATCCAAATAAACACGAATAATCGAATGGATATTGTGGCTGCCATAGGTCGTCACATTAAGCACAATCCGCAATACAATAGTGCGACCCGCAACTTGGCAGCCCACGCGCTCGCGCGTCCGAGCGTAGTTCCGGGCGGCGCCGCTACGCGGCGAAGGTCGAGCGAGCCAACCTGGAAGTAGAAAGCGGTCAAGCGGGGATATAAGGCGGACCCTCTGCGGAGAAATCGTATATTTGTTTTTAACAACTGAGTTTCAATTGCAGAAACACCGATTCAATAATTAATTGTGACTCATGATAACAGCAAATCCGACTTCACACTACATAAAATCAATTTACTTTCCATCTGCGAAATGATAAAATTCTTTATTAAAAGGGATTATTTTTTACCTATGGATTGACTATGGTAAATTCCAATTCAATTGCATTAAAACAGGTTTAATTATAACTTTATGAAATCGTATAATTTCGCATTGAGGTGGAGATATATCATCCAACATTAATCTCGCCTGAAGCATACAAAATTCGATTTGACTATTTTCAATCGGTTTTAATACCGCATTTTCGGTGCAGAAATCCCGATCGATTCGGATTACATTTTTTTAAATCCGTTTTAATCGACCATTTTCGGCAGGGTAAGTTTAAAACAAAAATAATATCTTTCCGGTTAACTTCACACAAAATTTTGTTTTCGTATTTTCAAAAAAAAATATTAACCAGTATACGTTGTGATTAGGCCAACAATCACCAACAAACGACCAACAAACGATCCGTAAAAAAAAAATTATAAAATCGGATGTTGACCGACTAACTTTATGGAGCTTGATTTCAATGCTAATATTTTTCACTTTTCCGCCCTAGGGAAAAAGTTACATGGGTACCGATCATGTAACTTTTTTCCTAGGGCGGAAACGTGAAAAGTGAAAAATATTAGCATTGAAAATCAATGGCAAAATTTTTCACTTTTCACTTTTTCGCCCTAGGGGAAAAGTTACATGTCGATACCACAGATTAATACACAGATAGCCAAAGGCCCGGATGAAGGCGAGACCAGCATTTCTCACTGGTTTCAGCGCCATACCGTAGTAGTGGCCAAAGCAGTAATTACGTTCCCAAGGTAAAGTTGCGTCGTTAATACGACGGTAATAAATTGACTATTTAATCAAAAACATTAAAAATTATTTACATTAAAATTTCTCTTTCTTCAATATCCACGTTTAAGTGGAAAGCAACGAGGAATATGAGTTTTATTTTTTAGAAGTGTTTTACAAGGGGAGGGCCAGACGTGCCCATCTCAGATTCAAGCGGTGATTTTTCTATGAATTGTCAATCCCCGTGTGTAATTTTTTTTTGTATAATTTTATTTTTTTATTTCCCAGCAATATTTTAGCATTAAATAAATAAATATTGCGCGAGTTTTTCATTATAACATAAATTGCTTTCTATAAAAAACAGAAGAAAATGAACAATGTTTAATTTAATCGTAAGAAATATGTTAATTAGTCTATAGACATCCAGGGGTCATCCAATGGAAATTTATAGGACATTAATACTTATTATAATACTTAAGAGTTCTAAATTATGTGCCTGTCTACAAAAGATGATTTAAGCCCTAAGCCTTAAGAAATTGACTAATCACAGTCGAATATTCTCCTCATACTTGATTGTGATTGGTCAATTTCTTAAGGCTTAGGGCTGAAATCACCTATTGTAGACCGGCACTTATGTGCCACGGCCCTTAAGCTCGTATCAGACTACGCATTGAAGATTCAGATTGAAGATTAAAGATTGGAATTTGTCTAATCAGAGCAAAAGGGACTAAAATTTTTTTATCCTGATTGGTCAAATTTCAATCTTGAGTCTTCAATCTGAATCTTCAATGCGTAGTCTGATACGGGCTTTACGGAAGACCTTGTGCGGTGGCCCTCATGGTGCAGACGCAGACGCTCGACGCTCGATGCTCGATGCTGCCATGTAATGGCACCTTGATGTTTCCTGTGCGTTGAATCTGGCGGGCCGACATCCCGGGGCATACCGAAGGAGGCGCCATCATCAAGGCTGCGTTCGAAAACCTAACCTGTGTGCATATGAGTGTCGTTCTATCTTTGTTCAACTTTTGGTAAATAACAAAGATAGAAAGACGCTCTTGTGCACACGGGTGATGTTTCCGAACACAGCCCAACGAGCCCAGTTTATGAGGTTACTGTCATCGGTGATCGGTGATCGGTGTCGCGGACATAGGATCTCGTTACGATCTGTCACCGTCGTCGCCGCATCCTCCTCGATCGGCGATGATGGCGTCGTTGCTGTTGCATCGCCGCGTATGATTTATAGGGCTCGTGGGCCCTCTCGAGGAGCTCGAGACTCCTGCCTTCAGGTACGCGAACGAGATCTTGGTCGAGAATATTCTCTCTCTCTCTCCAGAAACTAAACACTTTCCAATTAATTAAGCAAACTTGATAATTCACAGAGTAGAGCTGAATTGGTCGAATTTTATCAAGTTTTATTAATTTTTTGAATTTGGATCAGAGTATATTTTATATCACTAAAGTCGATAATCATATATGTTTGAAGCAATGATCCCTAACAATACACATGTTCAAAAGACGTCCAGAGAACATCCAGAGGATGTTAAACATCCAAGCATGTCCTCTGGACATCCTCTTTTGAACATGTGTGTTCTTAGGGATATGTCAAGTAGTTTTACATTTGTCTCAAAATTATGGCCTAATATCATTTTTTTATTGTTTATTATAGTTATTACGATTATTATTCACACAATAAATTAATATTAATTATGTACACATTTATCAATATATTATGTTATACAGTGTAACGCTCAATGTATATTCTCTTAAAGGATTAAAAGCCGAACCGGAGTTTTGTATATCTGAAGATGTTGGAAGTTGGTTTGCGTGTCGTCCGCGGTCAAGATTGGAAATGGGATGATCAGGATGGCGGCGAAGGTCATGCCGGAACGGTAGTGGAGATCGGGAAGCCACCCTCCATGGTAGGGAGCTCGGCCTCCAGTCCGAATCCCACCGATCGGACGCCGGATAAGACGGTCATCGTTCAGTGGGACCACGGCGCCAGGAGTAATTACAGAATCGGTTACCAGGGCGCTTACGATCTGTTGATGTTCGATAACGCGGCCGCCGGCGTCAAGCATTCCAACATTATCTGCGATGGTTGCAAGAGACACGGGATAATTGGCATCAGGTGGAAGTGTTCCCAGTGCTTTGATTATGATCTCTGCACTCAATGCTACATGGCCGATGTGCACGAGTTGACTCATACATTTCAGAGATTTCAAACAGCCAATTCAGTGGGGTGAGTACACCCATTCGATTTTGACCATTTGTGTTTTATTGACAGAAAATTATGTTTCCGATCAAATGTTGTAGGATCCAACTAGAGCCGAGAGAAGGATGCACCAAGATATCTTTAAAAGGAATCTTTATAGGAGCAAAAGTCATTCGCGGACCGGATTGGGAGTGGGGAGATCAGGATGGCGGTCGTGGTATTAATATTTCATTTATACAAATCTCAGTTTGAGTTATTATAATTATGTAGTGGATTACCAATCTCCCATTTTTTCCCATCCATCTTTTTTAGGAAAGACTGGCAGAGTCATGGATATACGCGGATGGGATAATGAGAGCAGTCGCTCTGTCGCGACCGTCACATGGTCCACGGGTAGTACCAATGTGTATCGATTAGGTTACAAAGGTTGCGTGGATTTGTGTTACGTGGAGGAGGCTACTGCTGGTACCTATTACAAGGAGCATCTTCCGCTACTCGGCCAATCGGTCTTGACTATACCGGATAACGGAAATAGCTCGACACCGACAAAAAGTGGTGTCTCCAGCATCTCATCTAGTTCACACCATGTAACGTTTAATGTCGGTGACAAAGTGAAAGTACTAATTGAGGTCGATATACTAAAGGAAATGCAAGACGGTCATGGTGGTTGGAATCCGCGCATGGCCGAATACATAGGAAAGGTATCTTTTTTTTTTTCTTTTTTCTTTTTCCAAAAATAGAATGTCTCGTCTTATCTACAAAAAGTATTGTTCCCATAAATATTAATTAAAGTAAACTGAGGTTTAACCAATTCTTGAAATCTCGCTAGAGCTTTTTCTTTAGAGAATGAAGCAAAAAGGAAAAGTTAAACTTTAAGTAATTTTAATTAATATTTATAGCTCAAATTAAAATGTATGCATTAATTGAATTAATTTTCTAAAATCTAGATCGGCACGGTGCACCGAATTACAGACAAGGGAGACATTCGCGTGCAATACGAAGGTTGCAACAATAGGTGGACCTTCCATCCGGGCGCTTTAACAAAAGTCACCGCTAAGGGTGCGTTCTCCCTCGGTGACATAGTGCGTGTAAAGAGTGATTTAGCCGCCGTCAAACAGTATCAAGTTGGTCACGGTGAATGGACAGATATCATGAAAAATGTTAGTCGGCAACCTATACATGTGTACTACAACCTATACTCGTTTCTCTCTATCGTATTTATAATATATGTACCTAGTTTATATCTGTCGCAGGCCCTAGGAAAGACCGGGAAGATAATCAAAATATACCCGGATGGTGACTTACGCGTGGCACTAGACGGTCCTACGTGGACATTTAATCCGCTAAGTGTCGTTCCTGTATCTTCGTGCACGAATGTTATGACTGCCGCACACGATAACGCAAATAGATTTAAAGATCGTTCAGGTATTCTTATTTTCTAAAAAAGATGTCTACATCATAGCCTCATTATTGGATCGATTTTGTTTGTAATGCTATAGGTGTAATTATCTATTTAATTTCTTCCAGTCGAGGGTACCGATAGCGAAGTGGAGAAACTGTTGAGAGACGCGGCTAGGGGTGAGGCCGGCGTGGCCTCAGTGCGAGAGTTCCTTAAAAAGTACCCTGGCAAAGTGGACGCGCGCGCTCCCGGCGGTGGCAGGAAAACGTGTCTGCAAGTGGCCGCGCATCAGGGTCAGCGCGAGCTCTGCAATCTTCTTCTGGACGCCGGCGCCTCTCTGCGTGCGGTTGACGAGGACGGTGATACGCCCTTACATTATGCAGCATTCGGGTATGTTTGGAAACTCATTATCTTGACTTTTCTTCCCAATAGTATATCGACGTGTTGTTATTCATTTTTGCGTTTGAACAGTAATCAGCCGGAGATAATGGAACTGCTGTTATCACGAGGCGCGGCTATCAACGCCGTCAACAACGGTAGATGCAGCGCTTTGCATGTAGCGGTTAACAAACAACACGCGCAATGCGTGAGAGTGCTGCTGCGTCATCATTGCGATGTCAATCTGCAGGACTCGTACGCTGACACGGCGTTGCACGATGCAATCGGGAAGGATGCCCTAGACGTGATCGACGTGTTATGCGCTTGTGAAAGAATAGACTTCACTCTTCGAAACAAACGGGGCTTCAATGTTCTACATCATGCCGCGCTCAAGGGCAACGCTCAGTATGTAGGATAGATACAGTGTGCGACGATGGAAATGGACTGTGTTTTCAAAATTTGCCTAATTCACCCTTGATTTACATAAATTCGTGAATGTCCGTTGCAGCGCAACGGAGAGGCTAGTCACTCGCGCACGTCACTTGGTGGATACGAAGAAGGAGGACGGATTCGCAGCGTTGCATTTGGCGGCGTTGAACGGACATAGAGAGGTTGTGGCCATCCTTCTCTCGCAGAACGGCGGCCGCGCTAAGGTCGATCTACGCAACAAACGACGACAAACCCCGTTGCACTTGGCGACCTCCCAGGGACACTGGTCAATTGTCGAACTGCTGGTGCATGCTGGTGCGGACATCGGCAGCGCGGACGAGGATGGTGACACCGTGCTGCACATTGCGATAGCAAAGAGCCCGAATCAACAAACTGCCGTGCTCACGCCTGAGAGTAGCCGAGATTCGCCGCTCATATATGCGGTACGTCTAAGAGATTACAATTTTTCCTCGGATATTTATAAATGTATACAAAAAGAAACAAAATCATCGAATAAATACTTATCTTTTTAGATAAAATTAATGTTTTCAAAATTATTCTGTACATTCTATATGTTATAGTTCTAAAGGTAAAAGAAAAGAAAGAGTATAGACTTGTCATTTCTCTCTGACAAAATACTTTTCTTCGGGTAGATCTGGCAGAGTCTGGCGAGGCAAAGCACAAAGACTGAATTAGCACTAGCTTGTTTTCTGGTAAGCGTGGACAGAAGCTGCAAACTCCTCGAACAGATCAGAAACAACAAGGACAAGACGCCGCTTGATCTTTTGGAGGGCAATCCGCAAACCGCTCTGCTCGTCGATCTTTTACGATCTTACAAATACCAAAGTCATAGCACGCAATTAGAGTAAGATGCAAAACAAGATAACAAAGATTTTATTTTAAGAGTGTTGCAAATCCAATCTTCGAAGCATTTATAAATATGTCTGAAATGTCTGACAAATCGATTGATATTTTGAAAATTGAATTTAATATTCTCAAAATAATGAGATTAATTGATTTTGAGATAATTCGATAACTTATTGGTAAATATATAAGAGGAATAATTTGTATGCATGTGTGTATTTTACAGAATAGAGAATAATCCACCGAGTAATTACGTAGAACCATCTACGTATCGGATAGTTAATACATCACAATTGGAAGGATTGCGTGGCGCGAGAAAAAGTATATCCGGTTCCGGCGACGCTGCGGAATGTCAGGATTGCTCAGGTACCGTAACGGGCATAAAGCAAGAGAACCGACTCGATCCTAGCAGTAGCGTTACACTTGGTTGTGCACGTTGCGGTCATACCATTGTCAAAACGCAAACGATTCAAGGTACTTGAATCAATTTTTCTAAACATTTTTCTAAACCGAGGAAAGATTTACCCTTATATATTTTATATATTATCTTTGCATTATTTGTCTAGATGGTCAGCTGGCAACAGGTGAAGTTTCAATAGCTAATTCGGAAGGGAAATCGAAAGACGTGTCGTCGGAAGAGAAACGGAAGGAAGAGATCAGCGACAGGGAAAGGGAAAAGGAAAAGGATAAAGACTTAGAGCGATTACGTTATCTGGAAACTAGAGTCGCAGATCTCGAGGAGGCAAACATGTGCAGCATCTGTATGGAACGTCGTCGTAATGTCGCTTTCCTTTGCGGTCACGGTGCCTGCGAACACTGCGCCGCTCCGTTGAAGACCTGTCACATGTGTCGCAAGACGATCACAAAGAAGATTAATCTGTATTAAATAAGTTCAACGACCAAACATTTATATACCGAAGAATAACAACGTTTGATTTATCGAGCGGTATACAATGTGTGTTTCGAGAGAAAGCATCGATACTTGGAACGGTAGTATTGTAATAATAATTATCGTGAATAAGATGGTTGTGATAAACGTATATTCGGCTTTAAACTATTTGGCCGCTACGCAACTTGAAGAAGGAGATATTCGGAAAAGAAGGTAGTCACAGAAATCTTTTTACTTACTGCAGGGTATCTACTCCCTGAAAAATATGGAAAATCTGGAGTTCTCAGGGATTTCTTTTGTACCGGAGAAATCAAGCAATTCTCATGGAATTTTATTGGGATTCGGGGAATTTTTTCTTAAATTCTCTTTCATAATTTTGCTCCTATGTTACAAGCAGTCTGCAAGTCCAAGTGAATTATGTGTTTAAAATATATTATAAATATGTGTATATATATAATAATTTTAATAATATATTTAATATATGCAGTACATATTCTTATCGTAATTTTTAATCATTAGAATTTAGCATTAGAAAACGCATACAAGAAAAAACTTATTTTAGAAAGGGCACCAAAAAATCTTTAAAATATTCTTTTCATTTGGAATTTTGAATGAAAATACCTGGAAGAGATCAGGGAATTTTTTTTAAAAGATTGGAGTAGACACCCTGTTACTGTAATCGATGCTATTACCTTCCAAGATATCACGCATCCAAAAGATATCTTTTTAAGATACTGTACATATACATTTGTTTAAATGATGCAAAGAAACGATGAATTCTGCCGACTGTGGTATTATTTATAGCGTAGAAAAATGTTCATCAGTTGATCATAGCGATACGTGTGCATTACGTTTCGTATGCTGAAAAAAAGTTAAACTGCCAAGACATACACTTCTCCTCTTCTGTGACAATTCTGACACGTAAAAAAGCGAGTTCCATTATATCGCACCGACATTGTGTCATATTGAGAAAGACTTATGCACATCACGAGATTCGCGTTCGCTCGGACATGAGATAGCTTGATTTTACGTTACCTTTTGTTGATTTTTTTTCAGAGATTTATTAATATATTGAAGATATCTCGTATTTCGGCAAACGAGCGCGTCATACATACAATTGTTGTGCGCTCTCCTTCCTCACAAATTGGCGTATTGCCTATGCTTTATCCCGTCCATTTTTTAAAGAGAGCGCGAAAAACGAGCTCTTCTCGAATTTAACTGGCGAAAAACATTGTTGTTTTTTACGCAGTAAGAATCATAGAAATTCGTAGAAATGTATGTGTGTATATATCGTCACATTATTGCGATAGGATACTGTTTTATAAAAGTACTCCAAGACTTTCAGACTGCGAGCTTTTGCTGTTTCACGCGCAGTAGATGAGAAGAGAGGGGAGGCACATTTAAATATATAATTTCATATCCTAACATATCGAAAAAGATTTTTTGTTACTTCCTCCCCACTACATATGACATATTGTTCAAATCTTGCGAATCTCCTCCGATGTTGAAATATGTACCCCCTTTCTCCCTTATCGTATTTTGCGTATCGTTGGATGAATCTTTGCATGATAAATAAGACACATTCAAAGGAGATCCCCAGCCAAATTTTTTAGATAGAATAATTATATATTCTGATTTGTATAAAGTATGGGACAACGTATGGAACCAATTAATTTTAAGCGAGCTTCCTCGAGCGAGAGATCCTTGCGGAGAAATAAACCAATTAATTTTGAGTGGATTTTTTTTTCTATCAGTATTAGACATCTTGCCTTCTTACTCGACACAACGAAAAACTCGAACTCGAGGCGCATAGGAAATTCTATTTAATACGAATAAGGTGTAAAGATATACTACGATGTATCGGAGCTGCGATAATCAATCAATTTTTTTATATCAGCTAACGTAATTTCTACATTAGTGATTAACGAATCGAGAGATTTTTTTTATGAATCATTGTATGGCGAGAACAGGGTAATGCATCGCGAATTTTATGTTCGCGGCGAGAAAGGTACAATTTTGCAATAGTGCTGCAATCTGATTTCGTCAAGATGATATTAGCCTTCTTCTTTTTCTCTTTTCTTCTTTCCTTCTTTTTTATAATAGCTGTATTGTCGTATTTAGATATGTGAAGCGTATACATTACACAAAAGATGTTATATTACGATAGCATAACTTTTAAGCATCGATAGATTTCTACGCAATTATAATTTACGACATATTTAAATAAACAAATTTACGATAGATAAACTAATCTAATTCCATATCCCATCCGTGTTCCTTTAAGCTTTATCTTTCGTTGAGTAAAAAAAGTGAAAAAATATCCGTCAACTTTCTCACACCGTCGACTAATCGTGTAGTTAATGAAAATAGAAAACAACATATTACAGAGACGAGTAACAAAGTGGTAATAACATAACGAACACCTATAACGCACTTAAAACAAGAATTGAAAAATGAGCTTGTTATCTTCTTAGCTTAGCAAGCAATCTTATTTATTTTGGTACTCGATAAAGGTTCGGATAATCGTATATTACAATCTTGAGCCAGTTTTGCAAAAATCGTAATAGCAGTACTAACGATATATAATAATGTATAATAATGGTAATAATATTTTCTCTTTTTCTAAAGTAACCTAAACGCAATGTATTCTATTAGTAGTGACATCGTATTTTATCTGTAGTATCTAATTAACTTAAACAAAATCGTGACGGCATATAGTATACCATATAGTACGATCACTTCAGAAATTTTTCAGCTATAGAACTGTCTCTTATACACCTTCTTCTGTACTGTTTTCTTCATTTATCTCTTCACTTTCTTTGAGAATAATATTATAGCATAATCCTAACAAAGGGCAACCAAGCGTCAAGATATGATGATTCACAATAGCGATTAAGAAGTACAACATGTCCAGAAATGTGTACACTCTGCGAAAAACTGATGAATATCCTAATTTCAACTTCGCGTTAGTTAAACACAACATGGTTCCTTTGTTCCTCGATTGCTCTACGAATTACATATAACGCAAAAAAATAATCTTTTATTTCTTCTTCTCTTCCTGTTTAGTTCGCCTTTCTCTTTTGTTTCTTAATCGAGACATTGACGTCTTTAAATCATAAATGGCCATTGAGATATCGCCCTTATGCATTAATGACAAAATAAATGCGTTTAAGAATTGAAAGTATAGATAACTAAAGACAAATTGCATAGATTTGGAATATGACATTGAGTGGATAAATACTTAACATATATCGAAGAACGAACAACAAATGTAAGCACAATACAGAAGGTATTAAGATAAGACACACACTTCGCGTCTTATATATGATTTGCAATTACCATTTTCGATTATAATTTTCAATTAACGAATGAAACAACAATATTTGGATAAAAAATATAAGATTTCCGTAGCATCCACTTTTTGCATTTAATCGCTTTCACTCTTTCGCTGCTCTCTTTCACATTTTCCATTTGTCCAATCACGAGTAGAATGAAAATATAATCGTGCGCGTCACTTAGTTTTTAGAACGATTAAAGAATTTTTAATGAGCAAATTTTTTCCGCAAGTTGCGAATGGGAAAACATTATGAATTGCCAAAGTACATAATATATATTAAACTTCAATATTGGTCGATTTAGTACACAATCGTGCATCAACTATATGTGATAAAACAGATCCAAATTTGTGGAGATAGAGTAAACTCTATATATATCATTAAACATTATCATATTATTCTCTCTAAAATCCAGCAATCCAGAACTCTTACTTGAAATTTTTTCAAATTTTAAGAGAGTAGAGTGGATAATACGGGAATCCGATTGTACACATTATATATATTTAACCCAGAAAAATCACTAAAAGATTAACATAAAAAATATTCCAACAAATCCTCGTCCGCGTATTCCTCTTGCAAAGTAAATGTGACATTAGAAAGTGCACTTGCTACTTACAAAAGATCGTAGTGTGATTTAGATCAATCGTATATCGGTCCCCGCAGGGAACCGGCAAAGTACAAATTTGCACAAATTTCACGCGTGCGAATTTTATCGCGTGATTTCTTCTCTTTCCATTGCTTCACGCGACGAGAGAATTTTGTCGCGTGAATTCTTCTCTTTCCATTGCTTCACGCGACGAGAGAATTCGATTAAAGTTCTACTCGTATCTATTCATAATAAGATTTCGATCAAAGTGATATCCAAAGTGATAGCGAAAGGATAATTATCGCAGAGTTTCGTAGTAACCGCATACAGAACGATAACGACACTGCTCTTCTTTTCTTCTCTCTCATCAAATGCATGAGATGTGTTCATCGGCGAATTTTATAATCCTAGCAGGAAGTTTTTTAATAGGATTCTTTATAGGAGCTTTTGCTCTCTTTCTCTCTCTCTGTCTCTTAAAACGATTCATCGACTTCTCGCGCAACGTGCGTCGATGTGTGTGTGTGTGTGTAGATACGTAAAACCGTCACACTGATTCATTCGCCGAGCGTAATTATTGTCAACTACGATCAAGTCCTGAGTCTGGCCAAACACTGCGACATTACCGTTTTATTAACGTTCGGAATCAACAGCCGTAAGATACCCACTATTCCGTTACACGTTAATAATATAAGCGCGTGTTAATGATATATAATATATATGTAGTATATCGGTATTTTAGTCTCAACCGTACTCTTTTGCTGGTAGTTGGTTTATGGCCTTATCAAAAATCGAAACTTGCTCGACTTCAGTTCATCTGCTTTTTTAGTATCCTGATAACCTTTATTATATTTCAGGTACACATGCATATATATATATATATATATGTATATATGTATATAATGAAATATACATAGCTTTATTATAGCGGTAACACTATATATATCTTTCGTTATAATAGCTATAATGTCACGCGCCATTATTTTTTATCAACGCATAAACATTCTAATTCAACGCGTCTACGACTTGGCTTTGTCGACATTTATGGAGACATTTATGAGGGAAAAGAAAGCGAAGAGAAGATGGAAAAAGGCAAGAGCCTTATCCTGGAACTAAATTCTCTAAAAAAATAAAAAAGAAAATAATAATAAGAGACAAAAAAATATTTTATATCGATCAAGTTAGATTCTGAGTACTATGGGCTCTGAAAAGAAAAAATGATAAATTGAACTTTTCATCTTCTGATTCGTCAATCAAATCTCGTCGAAATAACGTTTTTTATTCGCGTACGATAACACAAATCGTAGAAAGCGAAACAGTTGCATCATACTCGAGAGAAAAACTCGAATCTTGGTGGCAATGATCTAGAATCTAGATTATACGGCGAGGGGAATATCGACGAAAACAGGGTATCAAATTAATGTATAAAACGTTGCAGCGTTTGGTTACATATCAAACAGAACGAGAGAGTTGTACAGCGAAATGAATGTGTAACTATACCTGTAATAGAACACGTTCGACCCTGCATCATATTGTATTTTTTTCCGTTTTTCTTGGAATAAATCAGTGCGATCAGGTAAGAACGGATAAAAGAGAGAGACAATTATACTCTCTATGTATTACGATATAGAGGCTACTACTACTGTGTGCCGTGAATTGACTCGTTTAGTGACTCGATAGTATTTTAAGCTACGACCGGTTCGGGACTGCACGGTTGAAGCTCCGGCTCGTTCTGCGGTTCCGCGCTGTTGGTGCTTGTGGTGGTGGTGGTGGTACCCGAGGCCGCCGTCGATGCGTTCGGCTCGTGATTCGGATCGGCGGGAGTCATCGCGGCCCATTGCGTGGTATAAGGTGCCGCGCGCGCCTGTCGCCTAGCTTTCCTTTTGGCGCGACGTTGTTCCATGACTAAGCGCAGCCGACGCATCTTGCCCTTTGTCGCCTCGTTCTCCTTCGACAATTCTTCTGCATTCCGAAAACATTACACACATAGTACTTTATCGATATTAGTATTAATGGAGATCTCTCTCAGCGGCGTCAAAATCTCGAAATGATGCGCATAGCTTTTATATAAGATAAATGTATATAAAGATTGACTAGATTTTAAATATTATTATTTTATTTTTTTATTTGATTTATTATTTTAATTGATATTACAATAACAGAGTGTCTACTCAAATCTTGTAAAAAAATTCCCTACGAATTCCTTGATCTTCCAGGTAATTTTGTTCAAATTTCCAGGTTAAAAGAATATTTTAAAGATTTTTTTGTGCAATTTCCTAAAATAAGGTTTTTTTATTGTACGCGTTTTCTAATGATTCTCATTCGTGCCAAGAGAAAACACAAAACCATTTAAGTTTTAAGTGCTAGATATACAAAAATATTAAAAAAAACGGGGTGAATATGCATAAAACGTTACACCTCACCGATTTTATTGCCACTTAAATATATTGTAGGGGAGGTTCTTCTGAGTAATTCGCCGCAAGAAAAAAATGGGGGGAAGCATTCGTTTTGAAGATATGACAAATTAAAGTTTTACATTAAAATTTGTGTATGCTGTAATAATCCGTTATTTTTTTATTGAAAAAGGCTTACGACTTTAACGCGTGGGCGGGGAGGGGTCCCGCCCCCGCGTTGTAAAGTATATGCGCAATGGGTTCTGCAGTGGGAAGATATAACCTAACCCAAACCTATTTCTGATTTAAAACTAAAATTTAAAGGACTAATGGCGAATTCGATTGATGTGCACTCACTCCGTTTCAGTGACTAGTAACTTTTTGTTACCAGACGCACATGTTTGGAGCGCGTAGTTTAATACTGACCCGAGTGCGGTTATTTGCACTGACCTGGGAGCGATTACAGGCACTGATCCCAATATAGTGCATTTAGTAACTTCTTTAGTGGTGCCCACATGTGCAATATGCGACTTGTAATCAACAAGAGAGCAGAGAAAAACCTACAGTAATCAAAGAGAGATACTTTAAATATGAAATAATATAATAAATATTTAAACTATACATTGAAATTATGTGTGATAATACCTCTTTATCAGAATATTCATTTAAAATATTTATCATATTCCGAACTTTCGGAATTTGTGTTTCATATCGCATTAATACTGCCATCATTTCTTCATCGCTAGAACATCTCGAACTATTTAACAGTTCATCTAATAATAATATTTTAGCTGCCATATTTTTTCATTGGAATACTCAAATTTGCACTGAACTGCACTGTCGAAAATCTCAGTGCAATTCAGTGCCTTCTGCAGTAATGCAATGTATTTCAACCAAACGTACAAATAACACTGCACTGGGATAATGCAGTTCAGTCGAACACGTTTTCACTAGCACATGTTTTTAGTGCACTATCAACCGAATACACATAAAATTCTGAACCAGTACAGGGCAAGCCAACCGAATACTAAATACTGAAAGAGTGCTAAGAAAGTACTTTAAATATATTTATTCACCGAAAAAAATATAGCTGAATCCGACTATTGACAAAATATCTATGACCCTGTACCTATCTCGTAAATGTAAACAAAAACATTTCTTACGTTCTCTGCAAGAAATACAATGTACACAAATATCACTGTCCCTAATTTTATTTTATAATACTTCAAAGAAAGTATAAAAATTATGAAATTTCTATTTATTATATCTTCTAAACGAATGCTTTCCCCCAGTTTTTTCTTGCGGGAAATTACTCAGAAGAACCTCCCCTACAACATATTTAAGTGGCGATAAAATCGGTGAGGTGTAACCTTTTATGCATATTTACCTTATAAATAATTTATCTATTAAAAAATATATATATATATAATAGTTTATTAAATATACACACACTATAATTAATATTATTCAGGGTCTCTCTCCTTCCCTCTCCCTCCCCCCATTTCTCTCTCTCTCTCTCTACTCAAATCTTGTTAAAAAATTTCTTGATCTTCCAAGATATTTTTGTTTAAAATCCCCAGCAAAAAAAATATTTTAAAGATCTTTTAAATAAATTTTTTATTGTATGCATTTTCTAATGTTTTTTACTCATGCAAAGAAAAAATATAGAGGTACTTAAGTTTCAAATGCTAAATTTGCAAATGTACTAAACAAAAAATGAATAGCTATCGTAAGATACACATTTTTCACTTGCATAACATTTTCATTTTTCTATCACTAAAGAAAATTACAATAAAAAGAATATATACTATTTAATATTTTGTTAAAACATTAAATTATTAAATATATAAACAAAAATAGATTTTATATATATATTTATAAATTATAATATATTTCAAACACATAATTCATAAGTTGGCTCATCGGCGGATTGCCAATAAGCCGATTGCTTATAAAAATATTATCAAAGAGAAGTTTTAAAAAATTCCCTGAATCCCAATAAAATTCCATGAGGATTCCCTGATTTCTTCAGGTACAAAAGAAATTCCTAAGAATTCCAGGTTCTCCATGTTTTTTCAGGGAATAGACAGCCTGTTATTATATTGAATACACCTATAATATACCTATTATATTATCAATTTGAATATCCTCTATTAAATTTGTGTTAATCTCCTCTTTAAAAAATTTATCTTATTTAGAGTGTCTATTTCCTGGAAAAACATGGAAAACCTAGAATTCTCATGGAACTTTTTTATATCTGGAGAAATCAAGGAATTCTTATGGAATTTTATTAGGACTCAGGAAATTAAAAAAAAATTCTATCTTTGATAATTTTGCTTTTATACTAGTAGTAAGCTAGTAAGCAGTAGGCAACAGCTAAGTTGTGAATTATGTGTTTAAAATATATTATAAATATATATCTATCTGTGTTTATATATTCAATGTCTTAAAACAGCGTCTTAACAAAATATTGAATATGCAATAGATTTTCTTTATTTTAATTTTTAGTAATGAAAAATGAAAATGTTATACAAGTTAAAAATTTTTATCTTAATAAAAGTTATTCAGTTTTTTCAGTACATTTGTAAATCTGGCACTTTTAACTTAATTGGTTTTGTATTTTTCCTTCATATGAATGAAAAACATTAGAAAACGCGTATAATAAAAAAAAAACTTATTTTAGAAAATTGCACCCCCAAAAAATCTTTAAAATATTTTCTTTACCTGGAATTTTGAACAAAAATACCTGGAAGATCAGAAAATTTTCTTACAAGATTTGAGTAGATACTCTAAAAATATTATTCAGCGCGCTTATAAAATAAATACCGTTGGAGTATCCTGGTGTGGAATCATGACATCCGACCGACATATTCGATCCACCCGCAGTGGTTATGCTGGCAGAGGATGTGGACATCGAGGAGGACTGTTGACGAGTGTGCGAATGCCTATGATGATGATGCCTATAGTGGCCTGCGGATGCAGCCGGCGTCGCGCAGAGCAGATCATTCAAAATGTGAATGATGGTGCTGATGTCCCGCTTCGGCCGACCGTGTCTATCCTGGAGAGCTGGGTTCAAAGTGCCACTGAACGTGCCGGAGTAGACGCCCTTACCGTGATGATGCATACTCTCTATTATCGCGCCTTGCCTACGTCGCGCGTTCTCCTAATTTTGTATAAAACATTTTGTAAACATTTTGAAAAACTTGTATACCGTTAATATTAATGATAACATTAAAATAATACCGAGTGTACGGCAAATAAATACGATAATTTTAAGGACCTGAGAGTATACAAGCAAAGATATTCATCGAGAAATATAAATTCAATATCAATGAAAAATTTCGTCTCATCGAGACAATTCAATTCGTCAAGAGGCCAGATTCAATTGTGGCGCATCTCTTAGGACCTTAATCAACGTTGCGTCAATCACGAATACATAAATCCCGAATAATGATACACACAGGTGGGAACTGGCTTCGGTAACAATGTATACCTCTGCGAGGTCGACCCGCGAGCTGAGTACCTCAGAGGAGAGCTGCTTCAACTTCTGCGTAAGATTCCGGGAAGCTTCGGCGAGTGCGCGGGTGTCGAGAGTGGCAGGCTTGGGCGGTGACTGTTCCAGCATCAGCGAGGAGGTGCAGCTGGAGCTCTGCGGATTCGATTCGTCGTGCTGACTTCTCGTGACATCAATACCATTGAAGGTAACGGATGACGATTGCTGGCCGTGATGATAGTGGCCGCTACAGAACTTTTTCCTGGGTAGCGTCGCGTCGTAAGACATCGTCGGCTCTAAAGTAGTCTGCTCCTGAATAGGGACGGAACTCGTGGCGGAGGAAGAGGAGGAGGAGGAAAGATTGGGCAAGCTAGATTTGTTGTTCCTTGAATGGTGATGATGATGGTGATGGTGATGGTGATGATGATGACCATGATGGTGGCCGTGATGATGGCCGTGATGATGATGATGGTGGTGATAGAGCGGGCAGGGTTGGCAGGCGCTGGAGGAGTTACTGCTCGTAGGCGAAACGCCGTGCGGATTGCGCGAGGATTGCGACTGACTTGAGTTGCTGGAGGACGACGTCGACGATGATGACGACGACGACGACGACGACGATGATGGCGAATGCACTGGACTGATCGGTGTGGCGGAGACGGACGTAACGCGACTGGAGCAAACCGGGCTAGTGGTAGTGGTAGTGATGCCAGCGGTGGACAGAGTATTGCTATTGCTGCTGTAACCGGCGGCGGCGTGTAGGGCGCTAGCAAGGCTGCTAATTAGATGCGACGTTCTGCCGTTCAGTCCATTGCCGGCATTTTGCGACTTGACAATGTTCCCTGGCGATCTAGCTGCCAGACATCTTCTCGCCTGCAACGAGGAAGAAACGTGGCCGCTGGATAAGCTGGATGCATTGCTGCTCGTGGCATTGCCACTGGCGGGCAAGTTGTTGCTGGTACTAGAGCTCGTCGTCTGATTGGCAGTCGGTGATGCCGGGGTTACGGTGGACAGCTGCAGCTGTATCAGCATCATGTGATCGCCCAATCGCATCGTCAGGTTAAGCGGCGCTTTACCGGACAAAAAGTCGTTCACCTGTGAGTCATTGAGACTCTCCAAGGCCTGCATTACACTCTGCTCCGGCCGTTGGGCCTAAAACAAAACGGGCGCGAAGAAAGGGACGATCATTCGTTGTGTCGTTATTTCAGGAACAATGATGACAAACGAAGTCTTCGTTATCGAGAGACTTCCATCTCTGATTAACGTGAGATCAAATGCTTCTAGATAACACATAACAACGCGCAATATAATTTAAACAAAAAAGCAAAAAAAAAAAATAACTCATTGATTATAGACAGCCCGCATTATTAATGTGTATTTATTAAAATATATTATAATTATAATATACTTGTGTATGTGTCTTACAATGCATATAGTAATACAATACAAGTATTCCGAATTTAAATATTAAAACTTTGAAAGCGGGAGATCGATAAACTAAGAAAAAAAATCTCTTAGAGATTTGCTCGTTTTTGCTTCGTATTGGAGAAAATCGCAAAAAAAACAAACAAAAATATTCAACAGAAAACGTAAAACAACACTAAAATTATTAGGTTTATCGAAAGCACACACACCATGAGGTAAAGGTTGTGAAGCATGGAATCAAGAAAAGAGTGTGAATTAAAATTCTCTTGAAGTTAAATTAAAGGATTGTATCCTGTTTACTTTAGTTTATATTTACATTCCATTAGGGAAGCGACAACATAAATAAATAAGTATAAATAAATAAGTAAACTAAAACAAAAAAGTTCTCATTTTTTCACTTATTTATTCTCAATATGAGGTAGGAAGTGCGAGGGAGAAAGGTAGGGAAGGAAGTGGAGAGGTTGTGTAAGAAGGCAAGAGTACATATTAAGGAAATTAGAAAGATAAGGACGGGAAGAATGGGGGATGACGAGCTACTGGTAAGATTAGGGAGTAAGCAGGAAAAGAGATAAATGTTGGGGAAGAAAAAATTATTTAAAGGGAGTAAGATTGGAGGAAGATTTGACGTGGAAGGAGAGGAAGATGAGATAGGGATTGAGGAAAAAAGCAAGGGAGGAGGAGTAGAGAGGGGGAAAATGTGAGTAGGATAAATAAATATTAACGAGGAATGGTTCTGGAATTAGGCTTATGGGGAGGGGGGAGGGACTGGAGGGATAATCGGCGGGGAGTGCTAAGGAGGAAGGAAGCGAGAGATATATACGAGAAAAGGGAAAGTGGAGCGAGGGAAGTGACAACATGAATAAATAAGTGTAAATAAAGAAATAAATTAAAACAAAAAAAGTTCTTATTTTATCACTTTTTATTACTTATTCAAATAATAAATAAGAGAAAAATGAGAACTTTCTAATTTCACTTTACTTATTTACACTTATTTATTTATGTTGTCACTTCCTTAATGGACTGTAAATATAAACTAAAATAAACAGGATACAATAGTTTCGCGTTGTCGCATATTTATTTACAATCCTCTAATTTTACTTCAGGAAGACTTTAATCTACTCTCTTTTCTTTATTCCATGCTCTACAACTTTTCGATAAATCTAATAATTTTAATGTTGTTTTACGTTTTCTGTTAAATATTCTTTTTTTCTTTTTTGTAATTTTCTCCAAAACAAAGCAAAAACGAGCAAATCTCTAAAGGACTTTTTTTTAATTTATCGATCCCTTACACGCTCTCGAAGTTTTGACATTTAAATTCGGAACACCCTATATAAAAAAAAATTCGATAAAAATTTTTGAATATAATATTTTCATATCAAGAGACTCTGTTATGGTAAAAAATATTTACATTATATACTTATCTCCGCGCTTATTGATCTTCAATAAAAATAGATTTTAAGAGAGATGTAAAAGAGAGAAAAGACTCCGATACAATTGAGCAGAAATATTTACACGATGTGTCGATTTGAGGAACTTATTGTATATAACAAAACAACATAGCACATAACTGTTTATTGCTATCATTCCCGTTCTTCTTTGGCACTGCGGTCCGACTGACATACCGATATCTTATCTCTTTGTTAGCCGTGAACAGGGCTTAATGCGACACGTGGAGCGAGATTCGACATCGAAAGCCGCAACAAGACGCGATCACTTCTTATATTTTAGGATGTATGTGTCATGTGTCAAAATATTGACAAACATTGATACATGAAAGTTTCGTAGACTGTTCTATTATTTCTTCTGAGTATCTGTGCAAAACCTGAGCACAATTCTCTTAATAGTTAGAAAATTAGGTAAATATAGCGAATAAAGGACCCAGCCCCAATGACCTTGACCTTGACATATGTTATCAAGGACATAATTCTAAGTAACTTTTTCTTCTAATTTAATCGTCGCTCGTTGCTTATTAAAAAGTTATTAACAAACAAAAATTTGTAAAAATCAAGATTTATATTGTACATAGTCTGACAATGAAAAACTGGATATTTAACTAGTTTACAGAAATAGTCCTACGTATACTACACATATAAACTGAAATAAACACAAGTTTTTACATATATAGGGTGTTCAAAAATAAAATATAAGTATACCGAAAAGGGGACTCAGCCCCAATGACCTTGACCTTGACATATGTTGTCAAGAACATAATTCTGAGTAACTTTTTCTTCTAATTTAATCGTCGCTCTATATTTTATTTTTGAACACCCTATATATGTAAAAACTTGTGTTTATTTCAGTCTATATGTGTAGTATACGTAGGACTATTTCTGTAAACTAACTTAAATATCCAGTTTTTCATTGTCAGACTATGTATAAATCTTGATTTTTACAAATTTTTGTTTGTTAATAACTTTTTAATAAGCAACGAGCGACGATTAAATTAGAAGAAAAAGTTACTCAGAATTATGTCCTTGACAACATATGTCAAGGTCAAGGTCATTGGGACTGAGTCCCCTATTAGCTATATTTATCCAATAAATAATTAAGTCAACATACTTATATTTTATTTTTGAACACCCTATATATGTAAAAACTTGTGTTTATTTCAGTCTATATGTGTAGTATACGTAGGACTATTTCTGTAAACTAACTTAAATATCCAGTTTTTCATTGTCAGACTATGTATAAATCTTGATTTTTACAAATTTTTGTTTGTTAATAACTTTTTAATAAGCAACGAGCGACGATTAAATTAGAAGAAAAAGTTACTCAGAATTATGTCCTTGACAACATATGTCAAGGTCAAGGTCATTAGGGCTGGGTCCCCTATTCGCTATATTTACCGAAAATTATTTAAGTTTGTATTGATTCTAATAGAAAATCGTGTATTATAGCATTTATCGAATTTGATAAGGAAAACATTGTCAGCAAAATAAAAATTTTTATATGTATTAACAAAATTCTAATAAACATTTGTGCGAACCTTAATTTAGATCCACTTACTCGTTTACAAATTATTTACTAAAAATTGTAGCAAAATACTTGTAGTAACCCAAAAGATAAACATTGCGTTAAACGGAGCAACGAGATACGACTGTGCCCTTGACATATGCTGTCAAGATCATCACCCTGAATAACATTCAAAAGTTTTTAACCGTCGCTCATTGTTTATTAAAAAGTTATTAACAAAAAAAATTACTTGCTGTAATATCGGTTTAATATTATCGTTATTTTTCAAATTGAATATATGTATTTAGCTAAATTTCACGAACCAAATTTTAGTTTTAAATTAGAAATAGGTTTGGATTAGGTTATATCGTCCGGAAGTGGAGCTCCCCCGTAGGGGGGCGGAACTCACTGCGTCCACACATACACTTTCCCATCTACACAAGAATTGTGGGGTGGATCTCGCTTCGCGTTGTAAAGTATATGCATGGATACAGTGGGTTCCGCTTCCCCGTAGGGGGTTTCCACTTCCAAAAGATATAATTTAACCCAAACCTATTTCTGATTTAGAATTAAAATGTATGCTTCTGCTTATGCTTATATTAATACTTTATAACTTTTGAACGGATCGTGACCGCCACTTTTTTCAAGGTCAAGATCACTCAGGACGATGACCATGACAACATATATCAAGGTCAAGGTCAAGGTCATACATGAAGTTGTCCTCTTTTTGTATAATTATCTTACATATAATTTATGAAAATTCTTTTGTTAATAACTTTTTAATAAACAATGAGCGACGGTTAAAACCTTTTGAGTGTTATTCAGGGTGATGACCTTGACAACATATGTCAAGGGCACAGTCGTATCTCGTTGCTCCGTTTAACGCAATGTTTACCGAAATGTTTTTTTTTTTTTTATTTCAATAGCTTTTACTACTAATGTTCAGCCAAAACATCCTTAATAATTTACATTTACAGCGTCGTCGCGACTATGTGTAAAATTTTGCAATTTTCCGCGTAGGTCGTCATACATACCGACGACCTATAAATGTTGATACGGGAAGTAAACTTTGATTGATAGTAGCGCGTCTCAAGATAATCGCGCTGCGCGAAAATGATAATTTATATTTGTTTACAATTATACTCGCGAATGTGAGATATTTATACTTGATCGCTCTCTTAAAACTGCAGATTACGAAGAACGTGATATGCAGGCACGCATGAAGGTCACATTCCTTCGTGTAGTGTTTTTTACATATTGCATTTTTTTTGTATATTAAGTCTACGCGTGATTAGTTGCGTAAAAAAGACAGACGTTATCCCTGGTAAAAGCTTCCTGTAATTTCTTGTCAAGATTATTGCTTAAGGGAAACGCGTTTAATGATTTGTTTTTTTTAAATTTGCTTTTTTAAAGGTATCTTAGAATCTAGGAGATCAGTTTAAAAGTAAAATAGCTGGAAAATTAATTAAGAAATGGACATGAATTTGTAATGACTTTTTTTCAAAACCTCAAGTGATTGTAAAATGATTATGTGCAAATAGATAACAAATATATCTTATGTTTCGTTTAATTACAAACAGACTTCGAGTTAAATAGAACTTTGATTTAACACTCTTATATTAATGTCGAAAATTAAGAAGATATAAAGATAATCTCTAAACGATTTATACAAAGAAAAGAAAAAAATCGACTTTTGAAATAATTTAAAAAAAAGTTATTTGAAATTATGCTTTTGATAAACAATGTTTCGCTTTATACGACGCTTTATTTTAATC